TTTTTTAAGTGATTTTATGATCTGGTAACTAAGACCTTTAAGTCATGTCTTATTTTAGTTTATATTCTTATTTTTATGAAAAATGATAATATGGAGTGAAATGAAATGAAAATGAAATGAAAATGATTAATTTGAGACGTTAATCAACTGGGATGAAATTAAATGAAATGAGATGATATGGAATGAAATATAATCTTAGTAAAATGGTGGTCATTTACTAAGATTTTTTCAGTGGACTTTTTGGAGGATCCCGAGAAGTTGCGTCCAGCGGCTTTGTTTCATTTTCCCACATTTGTGCACTGAGCACGCCTTTTCCTCCAAGTGTTGCCATATCTCGTAATCTAACGGATTCAAATCTGGACTGGAGGAGGGCCAGTCTTCGTGCCGGATGAAGTCGATTTCACGCGCCGCCAGCCAGTCTTGTGTGCTCTTCGCTCTATGAGCTCGCGCCGAATCTTGATTTTTTTACACCTTTCTCACAAAAATGTACCTCTGTTAAGCCCCAATAAGAAACTCCCAACCATACCATGAGCGAGGATGGAAAATGACCTCGTTGGACACGCGGAATACGGTTGCTCGCTTCTTCACTACTGTGTGCGTACACCTTATCATTTTGTTTGTTGTAGCTCTCTTCTACGGTAAAAATTTTTTCATCCGAAAAAAGAATTTCCCGATATTTTTTTCCCGCGTACCGCTTCAACAAAGCGCGGCATCTCTTCAGTCTCAGGTCCATTAGACGAGCATTCAAACGATGTCCTGTTTTTCTTCGATATGCCCGAAGCCCTAAGTCTTCATTTAACACCCTTTTCACCGTGGTTCTGCTTAACCCCATCTGAAGGGCCAACAGTTTCTGCTTACGTTTGGGATTTCTTTGAATTCGCGCCTTCACAGCTTTTATCACTGCTGGAGTCCTAACAGACCGAGGGCGACCACTTCTTGACCTGTCATCTACACTAGAGTCTTCACTGTATCGTTTGATGGTACGATAAACGAATCTTTTGGTTATATTCAAATTTTTCAGTATGTTAAAAATTTGAATTGGCGCGTAACCGCAACGATGCAACGCAATAACTGCAACACGGTCTTCTTTAAGCGTCCACTCCATATTTAAAAATGAGTAAAATTCTAAAAGTATACATTTTTGTTTTCATGAACAATTCGAAATTCGAATTCAATAAACCTTTTTGTGGCCAGCATTCTAAAAGAAAAGTTTTTACTGTGTGACAATACTTATGACCTGACTAGTTATGTTGATCTCTTTTTAGTTTCAGTTTCATAGAATTTGAAATGTAAATTCGCTAAAGGAGTTTTTATTTCAAACGCAGTGCCGAGTGACCACTTAGTTTCTATATCTATCTCTCTCGAACGCAACTGTTAGAGGGAGACGACTGGTGCGTCACGTAACAGTGGTCTGCGTATATGGGTAAATGTGTATGCAGAGTACAGAGTGCTCTTAATTGAATATAAAACAAATTGATGTAGGGAAAGTATACCCCGCCCCGCTTAGCTTATTACGCAGTTTTAGTAATAAGCCAGTTTTTTTTGGCGGGAACACGAGGAGTGATGTTGTGTGATTTGTTTTATTTTGTCTATTTAGTATTTCTTCAGGTTTAAATGTGTAATAACGGTGGTTTATTAACTGTTTAATATCTGTGAAAGTGCAAAAATGTGGGAAAATGAAACAAAGCCGCTGAACGTAACTTCTCGGGATCCTCCAAAAACTCCACTGAAAAAAAATCTCAGTAAATGACCACCATTTTACTGAGATTATATATTTTCATCCCATATCATCTTATCTCATTTCATTTAATTTCATCCCAGCTGATTAATGTCTCAAATTAATCATCTTCATTTCATTTCATTTCACTCCATATTATCATTTTTCATAAAAATAAAAATATTAATTAAAATAAGACATGACTTAAAGGTCTTAGTTACCAGGTCATAAAATCCCTTAAAAAAAAAAGTAATAAGCCATATATGTTAATCTGTGATTAACGTGTCAGCTATCCATCGCGGTCGCTGATACCAACAAACATGTAACTATATTTGTTTTATTAACCTCACATTACCTTCTCTATGTGTACAGTTCACGGCTTACCCTGTGCTTATAAAGTATGTCAGATTCGTGAATAAACTTGGAGGGGTTACTGCCTGCCCTGGTGACCACCACTAAGCCATGCGTACCGACTATTGCTTCGATCTGAAAATTAATTTAACTATTAAATACTGACTCACTGAACTGTTATTGCCACTGATTAACTGACAATGGTAGGCCAACATTAGTGTTGCCAGAGAAAAACACTTAATCCCATACCCAGCTTGGAGCATGAGATCGGCGTCTCAATGGTATTGTACAATGGCTCTTAAAGCCTTCAGAATGTATGAAAGATGAGATCCGTGACATACAAATTTGAGTTAACTTTTACGCTATCGAGAACGTTAAAAAACTCGCACTAAGCACAGAGTTCGAGAAGGCGAATCATAGTCTGCCTATTCACAATCTCTCTACTCACATCTTCATCAGACCAAAGTCCCGGGGTGGCGAAGGACTCCAGAAGATCAGCACCGCAGAGCAGCTTTACTGTCACCCGTTCTTGATAGTTACCATTCGTCATTAGAGGAAAGTTGTCAGTCTCATCATAGCTGTTCACATTGAGAACGTCATCTGGCAACCACTCCGCTGAATCTGGATCTAAATTTGATTTGTATCCATTTATTATATCCTGAAATTTATAAATTGTTTAGCATAGCGATTTAGAAATAGGCAGAATAGCTAAACCTACCTCACAACAGCTTATAGTACATCTTGATTATACAATGTGATTGTACAATGATGATGAACTTTCCAGATTCATTTTCTGTTGTTTTTTTTGCAATTCTTCACAGTATGGATCAACTCTGCTCCAGTGCGATGATCAAAACAACATGACAAGACTATTTGCAAAAATTCCTCAAACACACCAAACACAAACTATCTCCATCGACCAAGGTATAGAGTAGATACTCCGTATCTCTACAGAGAGTATCTGGGGAGATCATTTCGAGCAGAGGCTCCAATTCATGAGAACAGGATTATCGACAATCTTATCATACAAACAATCCTATATAGTCAAACGGAAATGAGTTGAGTAGTCATGGCCTAAAGTATAAGACGTCCGGTGCATTCGTATCTAGCGATGCACCGGTGTTCGAATCCCGCAGTTACCATTTTTTTCTAATGAAAATTATTACGTATTTCATTAGAAAATTGGAAGTCAACTTCCACGGTGAAGGAATAACATCGTTATAATAAAAATCAAACCTGCAAAATTATAAATTGCGTAATTACTGGTGGTAGGACATCTTGTAAGTCCGCACGGGTAGGTATCACCACCCGGCCTATTTCTGACGTGAAGCAGTATTGTGTTTCGGTTTGAAGAGTAGGGCAGCCTTTGTAACTATACTGAGGCCTTAAACTCATATCAAGGAGGGTTGCGCATTTACATAAAGCTTCATTTGAAGCCGAATCTGTGTATGCTGCTAGGCGTATGAGACTGTTTTGCTTTGTTAAATTCTCCCAATATTTTATATGCCAACTTAGCTTTACCGTCTAAATGACTTCAATAGTGTACCACAATGGGTTGAAGTTAAGAAAATCCAGCTGCCCCTTTCGGAGACTTGCTCCAGAGAACAATTCAATTTGTTATATTTGAAGTACCTGTCCTTCACCACATTCCGAAATAAATACTGATAGAGGAAAGATCACATATACCAGTAATGCATGTCATCAATGAATAGCATGACGAAATTGTTGATATCAATGTAGAGAGCACAGTTAATGATCATGATCAGAGCAGCAGCTCTCAATCTTGGTTGTGATATTCAAATTGAAAATCCACAAGTAGATACCAACGAATATACACTTAACACATGCTCATGAAATTTGACAACGCTTTTGACAATTATAGAAAACCAGAATGTAATAAAAATCTGCTTAACAATTTTCCAGCTATATTTGTTATCAAAATTACTGAATGTTACTGCGTATTGTGGACCAGCAGAGATGGGTACCTGGGCCATTCTGCCTATACCTGCTATCATGCAAGATTTCAAACATATGGTTCAAGGGTATGGCCATGATGCATTTATGTTGTGATGCCTGTGTGCTCCAGTAACCACTTACCAACAATTATATCATGCGACGGTTCACTTAATATTGCAATAAAACATAAAAATAATTATTTATTAATATCAATTCAGTAAGTAAACTTTTTTACTTTACGTTATATTACTTTTGGCTATGCAAATTATTAAGTACCTCACAGCCAATTTCAAAACTTACTTGATGGTATTTTAAGGACAGTCTGGTTCTTGTCCAGCCAGCCTGACGAGATTCCCATTCCGATACTTTGATCCAGTTTGAGGAACGCAAGGCTAATTTCAACATGCTAATTCTGAAAATTTTGTAAATTAAATTAATATTTATGTATGCTTTTTTGCCAGCTTACAAACTGTTGGCCCATTTCGTCTTCTGCCACTGTCTTGGACACTAGCAAATAGTGATTCATTTCAAAACTGGTATGAAAAATTAAGTGTAAATACTTTTTTTTATTGCCTAGATATGTGGACGCGCTCACAGCCCACCTGGTGTTAAGTGGTAACTGGAACCCATAGACATCTACAACGTAAATGCGCCACACACCTTGAGATATAAGTTCTAAGGTCTCAGTATAGTTACAACGGCTGCCCCACCTTTCAAACTGAAACGCATTACTGCTTCACGGCAGACATAGGTGGGGCGGTGGTACCTACCCGTGCGGACTCACAATAGGTCCTACCACCAGTAATCAAGCATAATCAAGCATAGTCTAATCAAGCATAGCAAGACACAGATCTAGAAGCATAGCTTTAAAGTATCCACTGCCACTTGTAATCAACCTGGGATGAAGGTTGGCAAAATAGAAAAACCAATCTCCCATGGGTAAACCACAGAAAACAGATTCTCCTCATTTTGTACTTTCGTTTTATAGATTTGGAAACAATTGAATAAAACAATTGAAATCATTGTCATTTTTAACTATGTAAGTAAAACAAGGCGCAATCACAAGTGTCCGAGAAATACTTAGGCTTATTATCTCGAGGATCGCGATGCAAAACATTCAGTGGTATGTCTTTTGGGACGAGGTGTGATATTTTTATTTACCTGTGATGCGAAGCAACTAAATCCTTTTTGCCGTAAGCGTCGTGGACAGGAGAAACGATTCCGCCGACTACTGAACCAATACCAAACGAATGTATGTAATCACGGGCAATTTCTGAAGAAAAAATAAAATAAATTAACATAAATATATATTGTTTGACGATTATCGTTAGAAAATGAGCTTTTATAGTTTTCTTTAATTTTTTATATTTTTTATTGTTGCTTCTTTAAAATTTTGAGGTCAATTAAATATTTAAATAAAATTTAACTTTTCCTTGACCTTTTCGCGTTTATGATAACTTACCGAACATTCGCAGATGCATATACGTAGGAGGGCTGAAACTCCCACAGGCTATCAAAACTATCGACCCTTTAGACATTTTGTTAATTTCCTTTGATTCTTATCATGTAAACAGGCGATTTTCCTTTTTTTTATTTAAAAACAAATATTTAAAACGTCATGGAAGTGCCTTTCACAGATCAGGCAAAACCACGACCACGTAGTAATCTGTATTTTTTTTTTATTTTATGACCTGGTGACAGAGGGCTTAGTGAATTTAGCCTCCCTTTTTTGATTTTCGGATTTTTTTTATTTTAATTATTTGTTCGTCGTTTGTTCGTTAATGTTCAAATGTAAAAATTGTTTTTTCGCCTTTTATTTATTTATATTTAATTAAACAAATGATCACCGTTAAGTTGGCTCCCTTTACTAGATATCTTTATTTTTATCGCTCAGATTAATTAATTTTGATCGATTATCGTTTGTTCGACGACTATTGCTGATTTTAAGATTATAAAAACAATTATTCCCAATTATTAGTTATTTTATGTCTAATAAGCAAACCATCGCCTCACGCCGCGCCATTTTTTTTGATTTTCGGATAATAAATTAAAATAAGACATGCCCTAAAGGTCTTAGTTACCAGGTCATAAAATCCCTTAAAAAAACATAGTAAGTAATAATAACCATAGATTAAACACTTAATATAAATAATAACCCTTCAAAGAACAGCTGTAATTTTTTTCATATTTTATAGGTTTTTCTATTACTCTACAAATATGCGGTTGACTTTGCGCTTACTATCCTCGGCGATCGCAAAAAGACCATTCTATGTCACGACTCCGATATTTTACGTTAACGCTCGTAAGTAAACATTGGATTAAATAGAATTAAAAAACACTTATGATCCTGTATACAAAATTTGTTAAATTAAATTTCGGTAGTGGTGTTAAGTAATATAGGTTCGTAGGCTGATCGGCATAATTTTCTGTATAGTTATTCGGTCATCATAGGTATTCATTAATGTGAACACTTATTATGATAAAAATGAAGAAAAGAAATATGCATGAACAATTCCTTCCAGCGCATTTTAACATTATAGCGATATAAATTTAACTTTTAACACTAAAAATTACGTAATGTTAAAGAAAAATTGAATCCTATATTTTTTGTTTATTTCTCTGCTTAACTAGATAAAACACACATGATAACTGTGAGACAAAAATAAACAGTACAACCTAATAATTTACCAGATAATAAGTAAGCTGAATACAGAGAAGACAGAAGTCAACTGTATCAATATCATTGTACTGATCTACTCTGATTCAATGATTGATTTTAGAGCACTGATTTGATGTTGCTACTTGAGAACAAGTTATTCTATCTATAACAACATTTAACCCATCATAAACAGGAAACATTTTAAAGTAAAATTAATATATTTATGCGGAGTTTGATGTGGAAGATCACAGATTTAAAAAGTATTAGTTTGATTTAATGAATTCATGTTTCCTGAGACCATAATCGAATATGGAAGCTGTTGGATACCTCCTACACTCATGTAGCTTTTTGATTTTGTATGTCAACTGATTAAAGTATGTTTCAACATCTATAAAATTATTTCATAGTTCGTGCAATACTAAGTCATTAAACAATAATTATGATTGCTTTTTTGTTTCTCCTTAATTACCGCTGTATATTACTAATGGGACCTTGTAGACATCGACAATAGCACAGCCAAACCACCTTTTCTTAAATGATGGGAAGTAAACAAAGGTTTATATATATATAATGATATGGAATACTTCAGAATGAATAAACAATAAAATACTGAATTGTGTTTTCTTTAATATAATAAGAAAATATTTAAACCCCTTAATCTCTTTTAAAATTATTATTTTAAACAGTATTATTATATGAACTATACAAAACTGAACTCTGTTTTCACTCAATGACAGACAAGTGAGTGATTACATATAAGAAAAATATATTTTTTAAAGTAAAAAGTTTTAAAGGTTTTTTTTTATTGCCCTTGTAGGCAGACGATCATACGGCCCACCTGATGGTGAGTGGTTACCGTCGCCCATGGTAATTACCTCTTTTAAAGAAGGACATGTCATAGCGCTCAGGAAACACCGTGGAGGGGAGCTCATTCCATAAACGATAAAGATTTTCTTTAGATATTTATTTAACTGATATATTTATTCAACTGTTTCAGCACCACACATCGGTCACTTGTACTCAGCAGTAGTAGCAGATGCCATACAGAGGTTTGAAAAGCTCATCAGTCCTGACTGTAATGTCATATTCAGTACGGGTAAGGTACCAGCATTGAGCAACCCACATGTATTACTCAACTTGGTATTAATTTAAGTCTTAATTAAGGCGTAAGTGCTCAAAGCTTAAATAAATTCACAGTATATTTCGATCAAGTGATGTTAGTACAACTAGGTTCAAAACTTAAAGCAGATACAATTTTTTGTAAATATAATAAATATAATATAATTAATAAATCATCACAAATAACTTCCATGGGGAAGAAATGACATTGTGTAGTGGAAATATGATTTGCTCAGTTACTATTATTACAGCGCTTCGTGAGTGCACAGAAATAACTACCACCATTCCCTCTATTTCTGTCATGAAACAGTAATGATTCTGGTTTCATCTGAGACTTGAAAGAAGCTAAATTATCTAGGCAAATATCAAAATAGAATTATAATATTTTTAAAAGAGCATAGAAAATAATTATGCACTAATCAACAAATCACTAATCAATAATACAATGCAGGTACAGACGAACACGGTACAAAGATCCAGCAAGCAGCATTAAAAGCTAACCTCTCCTTACCGCACTACTGTGACACCGTGAGCAATGAGTACAGGCAATTATTCAAGGATTTTGATGTCGAATACACGGATTTTATACGTACAACTGAGGAAAGACATACTAAAGCAGTTACACATTTCTGGGTAAGATGTTTAAAGTAAAAATCTGGTTAAAGGTAATTGAGCCATACAGATTTGATTGAGGAATACAGACTTTCTCGGTTCCTCTCATGAAAACAAACTGAACTAAATGTGCTAAAGCCACAATTTTACCATACCCCTGTGAAAATGGTGTCAAAATAAGACATGGCTTCAACAGTGGCCCAAATTAAAATGTGATATATACATATTTTTATTTCACTAGCTGAAAATGCATTATGTTTTCAAATATTTAAAGAACATTTATAATTAATCAACAATAACATCTAAAAATTAAAATTAATATTGTGTTGGTAATATCACAAAATGTATCTATCATGTTGATTGTATTATTTTAGTAGTTTCATAACAAATTCAATATGCGTAACAATACTGCCCAATGGCAACCTTCCAAACTCAAATCGATTGAAAAGAAAATGCACCGATAGGACAGTTACAATATTGATGGTGATTTTTTACACAGAACGAGCTGCTCAAAAATGATTACATTTACAAAGCAAAATATTCAGGATGGTACAGCGTTAACGATGAGGCTTTTGTACCCGAGACACACATTAAAGAAGAGATCAGAGACGGTGAGAAGGTGAGTGTACTAAATAGAACTTGTTAAGGAATTAATGCCTTGAAACGTTGTATACCTAAGCATAATTATTTGTTTCATTAAGTTCATATTTCGTAATCGAAAGCGAAGACACGCCGTAGGATCATTAACCCCGCGCGTCAGATTATTTTTAGTGGTTTTACATTGCGCGTTCAAACACCAGTGTGCTTAGTGCGAGTTTTTTAATGTTTTCGATAGCGTAAAAGTTAACTCAACTCTGTATGCAGTCGGAACAGCGCCCCTAGCGGCAAACGTAGGCAAACTTTCCAACTCCATACAAAATTGGCTTAACTTTTACACTATCGACAACGTTAATGTGGGTGACTCACATGTATTTATTTATTTTATAATATTTTATTATAATTACACTACACAACAACACATACATACTTTATTTTATATCAACACATTCATTTATCACACAATCATACAAAACATTATTTACACTAAACAAAATAAAATTCACAAGCAAAGTCAGGCATGACCTACCTTCAGCACGATTCAAACATGTCCACCTAGACTTGATCGGACCCCTACCGCCAGCAGGTGATTATCGGTGCTGCCTTACAGCCGTCGATCGCTTTACGCGATGGGCAGAAGCTATACCTCTGACCGATATCACCGCTAAAACAGTGGCCAAAGCATTCATTTCTTGTTGGGTGTCCCGATACGGTTGTCCTGTCGAGGTTGTCACCGACCGCGGCAGACAATTCGAGTCGGATTTATTTCTACGGTTGTCCAAGTCCATCGGCTTTGATCACCGTAGAACAACAGCATATCATCCACAGTGCAACGGTTTGGTTGAACGTTTTCACCGGCAGCTAAAAGCTGCCATAACATGCCACGCAGACGCAAACTGGACTGAGACCTTGCCACTCGTCCTTCTCGGTATAAGGACTGCTTTCAAGGAAGACCTCCAAACGTCATCGGCAGAGCTGGTGTATGGCGAGCCTCTTCGCCTACCCGGCGAATTCTTCGGCCATAGTATCACTCACCACACTACCGACGTTACCGACTTCTTGGCTCATATGAGGTCCTTTGCAGAGAAGATACGCCCAGTCCCTCCTCAACACCATTCGACACAAAAAACATTCGTTTTTAAAGACCTCGCCACTTGTAGTCAAGTATTCCTCCGAATGGACTTGTTACGTGGCTCACTTCAACCTACCTATACAGGACCACACGAAGTGCTTAAAAGAGGCGATAAATATTTTTCTATTCTTGTCAAAAACAAAGCTGTGACGGTAAGTATAGATCGCCTTAAGCCGGCATATATACTGTGCAATGACACCGGCACGACCTTAAACCACACATCTCCACCAGATACACCACCCATTCCATCACACCAACACGTCCCAGTAAAAACAACACGATCAGGCAGGAGAGTACACTTTCCTGATTATTATCGCCCGTAGGCACGGTCTTCGGAGGGGAGTGATGTGGGTGACTCACATGTATTTATTTATTTTATAATATTTTATTATAATTACACTACACAACAACACATACATACTTTATTTTATATCAACACATTCATTTATCACACAATCATACAAAACATTATTTACACTAAACAAAATAAAATTCACAAGCAAAGTCAGGCGATAACTGCAGTATAGCGGCGGCGATAATATTTCGCTAGTACATCGGGGCATAGACGAACCGGTCGTCGCATTTTTACCGATCCACCGTCACCAGTCGAAATCTGCCTTGCGAGCGCGCATCCCGTATTATCTTTTCTGTTCTACGCCTTTTATAATTTTTGCTTTTTGTTTCGTGTACCGCTTGTGTTGCTTGGACTATCTATTTCTTGTTACTTTCTCCTTCTTTGTATATTTTGTGTTCGTCTTAAATAAAAACTTTCTTTGTCTCCATTTGTGTTTGGAAAGACATTATATTACAATCTCCGACGACTAAAGTTAAAAAACTCGCATTAAGCACACAGATAAAAAAAAAACATAGAATTTATTTTCCCACCATATATTTTAGTATATATTTTTGCTTTGATGGGTGGACGAGCTCACAGCTCACTTGGTGGTTAAGTGGTTACTGGAGCCCATAGATATCTACAACGTAAATGCGACACCCACCTTGAGATATCTTGAGATATCTCGTAGGGCACCGGTGACCTACGCGGCAGTCAACACGTTAATGTCAATTGAGAACAATGAAGACGTAGCTTCGGCCTTTAAAACTACCAAAATTCTCCAATTATTACCAAGAACAAGACCTGGCTGTATGAACTAAAGCCTTTCCCATTAGGGATAAATTAATATCATCATCATAATGTCAATTGACAGATAAAAGTGGCAACGGACTCGGGGCATCCCGTCGAGTGGACTGAAGAGTCCAACTATATGTTCAGGATGAGCGCCTTCAGAACTCACCTTCAGGAGTGGCTCAGGACTGGTACTTAAAGTTTTTTACCTGACATCTGTATATACAAAAAAAGAATTTATAGAATAAGAATTAATTAAAACAAAATGTTTTCGGGAGGTTGAGATGATATCTGTCTCTACTGGAGCCCATAGACATCTACAACGAAAACGCTACCCACATTGAGATGTGAGTTCTAAGGTCTCACTATAGTTACAACGGCTGCCCCACCCTTCAAACCGAAACGCATTACTGCTTCACGGCAGAAATAGGCAGGGTGGTGGTACCTACCCGTGCGGACTCACAAGAGGTCCTACCGCCAGTAATTACGCAAATTATAATTTTGCGCGTTTGATTTTTATTACACGATGTTATTCCTTCATCGTGGAAGTCAATCGTGAACATTTGTTAAGTACGTATTTCATTAGAAAAATCGCTAGGTACGTATGCACCGGACGTCTTATCCTTTAGGCCACGACGACTTCAAAGGTCTCCACTACTAATTCTTAAGTCCAGTATGTGTAGAGGGGTAATTCTCTCCCATATTTCTCCCCCGTATCCAGGTAAGTGAAAACCATTCCTCCATCCGACAGATGGTGTTGTGACACCGGCCAAATACCAAAAGCAGCTTCTGGACATGCTGAGAAACGACACTTATTTCCCGGACATATCCGTCAGCAGACCTTCGTCCAGAGTGCACTGGGCCATTAGGGTGAGCACAATGAATGCGGCTTAATGAAGACATGAGTGGATGAAGGGGATATGATACGCATAAAAAACGTTATAGTGAGCCAACCTTTCAATATAGACATATGCTGTCGCGGACTTTTTTAAGATCTCTTAAAGGGGAACAATTCTGTCATACATTATTTTAGCGAAACTTTAACCGTTTCCGCAGCACACGCAGCGGAAGCTCTCAAAAGAGAAAAAAACCCGATTTTAAATGTTCTTTATTGGTGCTTTTATCTTAGCGTGATTTTATTTAAGTCTTCCTCCATATATGGGTTATCTAACACTGAAATAATTTTTCAAATCAGGCCAGTAGTTCCTAAGATTAGCGCGTTCATACAAACAAACTCTTCAGCTTTATAATATTAGTATAGACACGCACATAACATCTTCATTCAATGTAAAAACTCAAAAATCTTAAAAACGGTACGTAACCCCTTCATCCACTCATGTCTTCAATTGGATTTTTATAATCATGCTTTTTCTTATATCTTTTTGTGACACATCTTATGACATCAGCAAGCCCAGTACCATTGCCAAGGTGCTCCCGCAGATTGAAGATTTTATGATAAGTAGAGCTGGTACTCACTTTAGAATAGCCTTTCCCAAAGTGGGTGATAACGCCCCCTTGTGCGCGCTGCAGACCTAAACGGGGCGGTAACAGGCCCAGAAAAAAAATGGGAGCGTTGTGAAGAAGCTTAGGAGGCCATTTGTAATTTCATCTAGGAGGACTCTTAGACACCGACTGAGCTCTCGCTATAGTGGTTATTAATTATGTGAAAAAATTGGGGCGCTAAAAAATAATTTATGCTCAAAGTGGGCAGTAGACAAAATAAGTTTGGGAACCTCTGCTTTAGAAGGCACCGTCATCCAGCTTATTTTTGTTGCGTAGCAGTAATGCTTTCCGGTTGGAAGACAGCACAGTTGTAATTCAATACGAATGGAACCTCATGTCTCAAAGAACTGTCTATGTAATCTTGTAATTAGTTGCATCTTAGTCGATCAGGATACCCTCGACGCTGTCTCTGTCTTCGCGCGCAATGTATCGTGCTGTACTTTTTTTTTATTGCTTCGATGGGTGGACGAGCTCACAGCCCTCATGGTTTTAAGTGGTTACTGCGCCACCCACCTTGAGATATCAGTTCTAACGTCTCAAGTATAGTTACACAGAAACAGGCAGGCTGGTGGTACCGCGCGGACTCACAAGAGGTCCTACCATCAGCAAACCATCTTCCTTCCACCTCCAGGTCCCAAACGATGAGGAGCAAAGCATATACGTGTGGCTGGACGCTCTGATCAACTATCTGACTGTGATCGGCTACCCTGACGACGACGCGATGAAGCTCCGCGGCCGACCCTGGCCGGCCGACGTCCACGTCATCGGGAAGGACATCCTCAAGTGAGCGCAAATGCTCACGATTGACTTCCACGGTGAAGGAATAACATCGTGTAATAAAAATCAAACCCGCAAAATTATAATTTGCGTAATCACTGGTGGTAGGACGTTTTGTGAGTCCGCACGGGTAGGTACCACCACCCTGCCTATTTCTGCCGTGAAGCAGTAATGTGTTTCGGTCAGAAGGGTGGGGCAGCCGTTGTAACCATACTGAGATCTTAGAACTTATATCTCAAGGTGGGTGGCGCATTTACGTTGTTGATGAGGTCTATGGGCTCCAGTAACCACTAAAAAATTAAATAACAAAAAAAGGATTGTGTGGTTTTATGAAACCACGGTAAAAGTGAAACTTTTTTCACATTATAGACATTTAACTCTGAAAAACAACATTTACATTAAACACTGACAAAAACAAAATAGCGTGGAGCACTGGCACAAATGAGTAACAGTCTATACACTACACGGTCAGCTGCTGCGAACTATAGGCGCCGCCATATTGTCCTTGGCTGCTCTGACGAGCGCCTTTCACTTCATCCCTACTCCGCGGCCGACCGTCACGCGACATGCAACACACAGACGAAAAAGTTTGAGATGATGTAATAAAAGTTTCAAAGTCATCCATGTTGAGTGGTCGCCTCCATTGCCGCGTATTGTCCGATGGTTACACCATGGATGACTAACTAGTGGGTGGTCGCGGCAGGTTCCACGGGCTGTACTGGCCCGCGTTCCTGATGGCGGCGCGCCGGCCCCCGCCGCGGCGGCTGCTGTGCCACGCGCACTGGACCGTGGACGGCAGCAAGATGTCCAAGTCGCGCCGCAACGCCGTGCCCCCCCGCCGCGCGCCCGCGCCCCCCGCCGCGCTGCGCTACCTGCTGCTGCGGGGGAGCACCCTGCCGCACGACGCCAGTCAGTAGCGCGCCCCCACCTCGCCGACCCCACGCATACCTCACCACTTTAAGTGGGGGAAAAGCTATGCCCTCGTAGCTTGCGGTAGGCAGCAGCTTAGCTCTGCCCCTGGCATTGCTGAAGTCCATGGGCGACTGTAACCAATCACCATCAGGTGGGCCGTATGCGTCTGCCTACAAGGGCAATAAAATTAAAAGAAAATAAAAATATCTGTTTGGTCGGACCGTGAAATTAAAAGCTACGACTAAACTCGTCTAGTTTGTCTCGACGGATATTTTTCATAAAACGTATCCTTTTTGTTGAATTTAGTAATTTTTTTGAAATATCTGTGTTGCATATTCGGGGTCCCCACAATGAGGGTGTCAAGTTGAAATGTGCCTAGAGTATCAACAATGCAAATCACGTAGTTTTCATACAAAACTAATTTATTATTTCAAATCTTCGATGACAGATCACGGGTAGGTACCACCGCTCTGCCTATTTCTGCCGTGAAGCAGTAATGCGTTTCGACAGCCGTTGTACTGTAAAATCTCATGTCTCAAGGTAGGCGGCAATACTTTCGTTGTTGATGTATATGGGCTCCGGTAATTACTTCACCGGGTGGGTCATGAGCTCGTCCACCCAACTAAGCAAATACATAAGATGCATTCGATATGTGTTTAGTCAAATTTTTTACTATGAATGTTACGGTATGTAGAACATAATTCAAGAGTTGATTGTCATAGTGGTGGTCAAGAACGGCGCTCTATAGACACAGCCCACTGAGTTTCTCACCGGATCTTCTCAGTGGGTCGCATTTCCGGTGCGGTGGTAGATTCTGCGAAGCACTGCTCTTGCTAGGGCTGGTGTTAGCAAATTCTCTCAAGTTGAGCCCGTGAGCTCACCTACCCGTTCGCAAAAAGCTGGAATAGCGTTTTAGGCTACTAGCGAATAGTTTGGGACAAAAAAGATGGGGGATTGCCTCATGAGCTGAGGCGTTGTGACGCGGCTTCTAGAATCATCAATGTAATCGCTGTCGGTCGGCGGTGTTTTGTTATTTTTTTTCCTACCTAAGCTGATAGCCTTGAGAGGCTATTTCAGCGTGACCTTAGTAAATAGGTGAGTTCACGGGGCTCAAACCGGAGTGATGCTAACACTGACCCCAGCAAGAGCTGTGCTTCGCAGAATCTACCACCGGATCGGAAACGGGACCTACTGAGAAGATCCGGTGAGAAACTCAGTGGGCTGTATCTGTGGGTTAGTTTACTCGCCGAGCCCTTCGTCGCAAGCGACGGGTTTGACGAGGATGGTGACCAGTGCTTGTGGTATCTAAAAGCACTGATCATGGATCGTGAGGATCTGTAATGACGTGTTTAGGGCGACGTCGACTGTTTACCATTCGGTCTACAGGATCAGGTATGATTGTTATGATTGTTAGCTCTCGTACAGCATAGTGTATTGCGGTCCACAGACTACAGCGAGACGAAGCTGATCAACATCGCGAACTCCGAGCTGGCGGACACGCTCGGCAACCTCGCCTCGCGCTGCTGCGGCGCCGCGCTCAACCCGCGACAAGAGTTCCCCGCGCTGCGCCGCCCGCACCCCCGCGCGCGCCCCCTGCGAGACGCGCTCGACCGCCTGCCCGGTAACCGCCCGCGCTAGCTTGGAGTCGTCGTGGCCTAAGGGATAAGACGTCCGGTGTATTCGTATGTAGCGATGCACCGGAGTTCGAATCCCGCAGGCGGGTACAAATTTTTCTAATGAAATACGTACTCGACAATTGTTCACGATTGACTTCCACGGTGAAGGAATAACGTCGGGTAATAAAAATCAAACCCGCAAAATTATAATTTACGTAATTACTGATGGTAGGGTCTTTTGGGAGTCCGCACGGGTAGGTACTACCGCTTTGCCTATTTCTGCCGTGAAGCAGTAATGCGTTTCGGTTTGAAGGGTGGGGCAGCCGTTGTAACTATACTAAGACCTTGGAACTTATATCTCAAGGTGGGTGGCGCATTTACGTTGTAGATGTCTATGGGCTCCGGTAACCACTTAACACCAGGTGGGTTGTGAGCTCGTCCAACCATCTAAGCAATAAAAAGGGGGGGGGACAGTACACTTATTGGTCCGTTTCGTTCACAGACGCGTGCTACGAGCACTACACGAACTATGAGTTCTACAAGGTGGCGGACGCGGTGATGCACTGTCTCCACCAAGCGAACCTGTTCTTCGAGACTGAGAGGCCCTGGGAGTTAAAGAACAGGGCGGAGTGTCAGTCGGAGCTGGACGCGGTGCTGCACATCACGATGGAGACGCTGCGGGTGTGCGGCATCGTGCTGCAGCCGCTGGTGCCGGGGCTGGCGGGGCGGCTGCTGGACCGGCTGGCGGTGGCCGAGCGGGGCTGGCGGGACCTGCGCCCCTCGTGGCAAGCAGCTGACGCCATACACGAGACCAGACGCATCCAGGGCGGGAAGTTCGTGCTGTTTCCCAGGATTAGTAAAGACAAGGACAATTTGCACAAAAAGCAGGCGAGTGCGTGACGGCCAGAGATACCGCCACGCGATGTCAAACAAATAGTCTCAGCATCAGTGTGCTTAGTGCGAGTTTCTTAACGTTCTCGATAGCGTAAAAGTTAAATCAATTTTGTATGCAGTCGGAACAGCGCCCCTAGCGGCGAACGTACGCAAACGAGCCCATTCCATACAAATATGAGCTAACTTTTACGCTATCGAGAGCGTTAAGAAACTCGCACTAAGCACACAGAGTATCTTTACAACTCTGCTTAAATATATCATGAGGGTACTTCCATCTAAACTCAAAGGGGCGATAATATCGAGCCCCGTCGTGTCGAATTGACGAGAACTGTATATATACTATTAGTAAGTTGCGGCTTTCAATCAGCCCTACCACAGTTGATGTCCATGGGCGACGATGATAACGTGTAACATATTATTCTGATCTTAGTGAACGTTCTTTGTGATGGATCGTATGATTAAAATTTTAAAATAATATTTTTTGTTTTATTGAGGCTTTCGTCTTTGTTGCCGTTGTCATTGTATGAAGTATACAGTCCACTTGATGTTAAAAAAGGGAGCCCTCCCTGTAACGAGCCTCAAAAGGGGAGGTCCAAGTTTCAAGTGCAACTTATGTGTAAATACAACTTGAACGAATCACTATTAGAGCGTAGAATGGTGGGTTAAGATTCCCCAAAACCCCCTCGAAGGGTCTACTGGAAACTCACCCACTGCGTCCAGCTGTGTGACCCGCATGACGCTCAGTACATACTCTGCAGGTTGTTACCTATATATTAATAAGTAAAGCAAAAACTTTGTATCCCTTTTTACGAAAATTGCGCGGACGGAGGACTATGAAATTTCCCACACTTATAGAGAATATAGAGATGAAGTGCAGAATGCTAATATTTTTTTTAAATAATGCATAAAAGATACATTAAATCAATAAAGAAAACATTACACACTCTACATACCATGTACTTGACGCACACACGTATGTATACTATTTATTGTCAAACTTTTGTTCTTGACGTCTGTTGTCAAATTGAGAATAGATTAAATATTGTTTGTTTTTATTAATATCTTTATAGTGTATCTTTCGCGAAATTTGTGATTGTAGTGTGTGTACAAACTTACAATTCCAATGAATTATAGTCAAATTTCGACTACTGCGGGACTTCTAGTTTTTATAAACGTGTCAAGTGGACACAGACATCAATCACAACCTCGAAACGTCAGATTAGAGTCAACTGTATACAACACTAGCTGTACCCGTCCGCTTCGCTGAGCATTTAAAATTAACATTATTATTTCTCACCCCCACAAAGATTCTCATGATTAACGCCCCCGCAACTGGTGTAGGGAATCCAACACTCATATAAATATTAGCCTATCCATTAAGTACATCGACGCTTGAAAGGCAAACGTGACTAAGCGACAATAATTGCTTTGTACATAAATGATAGGCAATAACCATATTCGATGCGCAAAAAATATATATTTCTAGGTCTATTAAAATCATTTCAATCCTACAGCTTTACTATAGTCGGATTTTTAATTAGACGAAGCCAGCTGACAGTAGCTAATGTCAGTTTGTGAAATAATGTTGCTATATTTAAAGTAATAGTGATGCGTTCAGTTCTCGTTCAATCACATGAATGAACAATGAGTGTGAAGAGTTAATCATTAATTTCAAACTATAAAAGAATATTATTTATATTTTACAATAAAATTGTATTAAAGTGCTCCAATATATGTTACTAGTAGTATTAACTACAATCAGTTTTTTTTATTTTCATTACTTACCCATAATTGTTATATTTTATACGTCTATAATCTATAATTTCAACTATTGTGTTATTTTTGTATAATTTAAACTGTATTGCAAATAGGACAGTCTTACAAGCTTCCTCGCAATGTTTTTCTTAATGTTTAAAACACTCGGTATTCAGTACAGGTAGATACTATAGGAACATAATATTTCGTCGAAAACTCGTTGGTATGTACAAAGCACGCCTAAAATTCGAACCCCGTACCCGATATCGGCAATTCGGCACACCAACTATTCACTAGACAATCGAGGCAATTTCATTAATTCAGGAGTTTTTTCAATCGTTCACTTTGTCACAACACTATTTTTATTTCATCAAAAACTGACAACACAGTAAACGTCAGTTAACTTCGTCTAATAAAAAATCCGACTATAGCTAGATTCTACTACAGCCAGATTCGTTAAAATAAATTTTGTTTTCAGGTATTTCAACTTTAAATTAGTCTACTGTAAAATTCACACATTGTCGCTTAGTCACGTTTGCCTTTCAAGCGTCGATATGTATTTTCTACACGGATACCAAGTTTCAAGTCAATCGGATGCACAGCTCAGTAATTATAACGGAACATCTGTAAAACTCACTGTAGATTTTTATATTAGTATAGATGACGGCTGTCCTATCATTAAAACTGGAACGCACGAGTGCATCGCGGCAGATATAGGCGGGGTTGTGGCACCTACCGTGCAGGCACAGGGCTCCCATCGCCTGACACACAGCACCAAAGGACCAGAAATAAAACGACAATATTCTATAGGGTCATTTATTTACGAATAAGTTTTTAAATAATATTTGCATCGAAATACTGCAATAACGACTAACTGTAAGTTAAGAAGCTACACTAACAAGCTAGAGTACAGCGCGCTGTGTCCAAGGACAGCATACAAATATCATCTCGAAAACAACTCGATCGGACGCGTCGCGGTTCCACGACTACCCACGTCGAGCCACGAATACCCACAACTTTATTAAATACCAATAAACTGTGGGTAGTTTGATTTTCTCGTACAATAACGAGGAAATCGATCGTGCGTGAAGAGTCTCGTTGCTATTACGCAATTTTACGTCTTACGGAACTTCTGCTAACTCACCCACGACAATTCATCATCAACTACCCGTATTTTTTATCGTAAAACGAATGTCTTTAATTTCAAAATATCGAATCATCTCATTAATACCATTAATGTTCCGCATTATCTTTTTGATAACGTTTAAAAAAAACCAAGACTCGTGACACGTCCAAAACGAGTACAAAATGCATTAAAATGAGTATAATACAGGTATGGACTTAATCGATCAATAATAATAATAATAATAGTATATATAATAATAATATTTATAAATTCTTACAAAAATTCGGCCACACGTACATCGTAATATTAAATGCCTTAAAAACACATCGGACGACAACATATATATGCACACCGCCAGCGTCATAAACCATGCTCATAAATGAATATTACCGTCGACAATACAATAAAAAAGAACGCCCTATAATAACGCCTTAATAAATCCACATACGAAATTGAGCTCCGGAAAGCGTTTGAGCTTTGATTAAAGTAAAAACGAACAACAACAACAACAAAATAAAGTAAATACGCTCAAAGTATATTGAACCATATCGCCATACAAATTGAATGTACAATCGCATTCACACGACACATACGACATATGCTTTTACGTATTTACGAGCGACGATGCGATGATCTGTCATTAGAGTCGACTAGTATCAAAGCCGGCAATCTGACTTTTGGACAATGATTGGTAAATCAGAAAAACGAATTATTGACTTTGTATTCCATTGGCAGTCACAAAACTCTTCGGAACGACATCTTAGATAAATAACAGGTTAACTATTAACCTTTATTTAATGCAGGTTTTGAACCGTATTCTTTGAAGGAGACGATTATATTCAAATCAATCTGTATTGACATATCAATAAAAATTTTTTGTCCAAATGTACAGATTGCCGCCTTTGATAATAGACGACTCATATATGAGTCGACTATTATCAAAGCCGGCAATCTGACTTTTGGACAATGATTGGTAAATCAGAAAAACGAATTATTGACTTTGTATTCCATTGGCAGTCACAAAACTCTTCGGAACGACATCTTAGATAAATAACAGGTTAACTATTAACCTTTATTTAATGCAGGTTTTGAACCGTATTCTTTGAAGGAGACGATTATATTCAAATCAATCTGTATTGACATATCAATAAAAATTTTTTGTCCAAATGCACAGATTGCCACCTTTGATAATAGACGACTCATTATTACTTTTTTTAATTCGCTCACACTTGCATTGTACTTGCGTACGTGACAAGTTAAACTAAATTTAAAATGTTTTCAATAAACTAGAGATTTTAAAAATGATTAAAATAAAATTTTAAACTACGCTCGATGAGATGAGAACGCTTAGTATTCGGAACAAATATTTTGTTAAATTTATATTTATTAGAGTCTTAAACGTGTAACGTCGGAATAATGATTAATTCGTATTTAAGAAAACGACCAATAAAATGCAACTTTTCTCTCTTTGTCTGTTTCTTCAGAAAAAAAACTGTCAAACTCCATTACTGCCTCGGTAAATATCAACCGTTGTACCAAAATATCATATGATTACTAGAAGAACCAAGATAGGCTAAAAGGTCGGGTGACCATTAACGTAATAACCACAAACGAATTAATATCTGTGAGGTTATCTGTGAGGAGGACGCATTCTACAGCGCAGTGGAATCAACGCGGCATTAATCGCGTTAGTCTTTAACATTCACTCGGGTTCACTGATTTAAAAACAATGTTATTCATTTCCGACATTGAATTTCGGACCTTGTGCATCTAGCGTTAGAAGTAAATTCGTTTGCAATGTGATGATAAGTCGATAGAATGATTATTAATTAAGTTCCTCTTATGCTTTATTTCACTTGAACGTCGCCAAATACACGAAGAAAACTTACCGAGGACTTTAGAATAACAAGAAACCGCTATTTTCATGGTTGAAAATGTTGAGTTACCGAAACTAAAACATATCGGGAATCATAACGTCGAAAGTGTCATTTTCACACAAACTATATAAAGACGTATCATAATTAATTGAGATTGATTTCGTCTTGAACCCCAAACAGAATTCGTTATTACTTTGATTGCGGAATACAAAAAAACAATTACAAAAATGAAAGATTTCATTACACGTTAAGACCAAGCTTTCTCTCGACAAATTTTTCAAAATCGATTGCCAAATCGATAACCGATCACTTAAAATCGATTATAATCTTAAAGAAACGCACACTTAAATCCACTACAAAAATCAGATAATGCGTTTTGTAGTGTAGCTATGACGTTACTGAATTTGAATACAGTTTTTTTTAAAGGACAAAGGTCCTTCAATTTTATAAACGTTCAAATCAGTTTGAGTAATGTTTATCGATTTAACACAAACAATTAAAAAAATCGTATCACAATGGAACTGTCGGTGACTTCATGATAAAAAATAAAAATAAAAAAACTAAATTCGGAAAACACATTACCCCATTCATTCACTCGTTCATCAAATGTATATACAATCATTCAATCAGTGCAGGTCGACTGTCAACAATCTTTACCCCTTTATTTTTAATTTAATTAATATAATAAATTGCGTGATGCTATGAGAAA